AAAACTCAAATAACCATTTCATCTCATCAGAATTCAATGGACAATCATCTCTTTGAATGTTTGGTGTTGAATAAAAGAGTTGTAATGAATGTAATAGTTTGTTTGCTAGAACAACTCCTTCAGTTCCCTCGAATATTCTCTCATGTTTTCTTGTGATTTCCCAGACAAATTCCAATGCAACAAACTCTTTCTGAATGTCATCTCCAACAATGAAGATATTGACAATGCAAGGAATCATCTTTTTAATGTTTTCTTCAGTAATTTGATCAAACACTTCTTCACTATCAATACTCATCAATACTTCTTCTAATTTAAGTATGTTATTGACATTACTTGATATACTATAATTCAATCTGGACTTCTTTTGATTAGGAACATCTTCTATTTCAAGTCGTTTTGTTGGTGTTTTTGATAGTTCTTTTGTTCTTTTACGTAGATTATCTTGAAGATCAACTAAGGATTGCAATGCATTTGTTCTTTGTGTGTTTTCTTGATTTTTAAATTTGTTATTATGAGATAAATTGTTGATGAGAGGATTAGAACTTTTCTTTTTTGCTGACCCTTCATGAGTGTTTATTTCTAATTGCTTATTGTTTGATTTGGGAGTGAGTGTGGTGGTAAGAGATGGATGAATGGTGTTATTTGGTTGAATAGACTTTCTTTTTGTCTCTTTAAAGTCTCGGATGATTTGATACATCTCATTAATTTTATCCAAGATAGATTTGAGATTAATGGCATGTTGTTTATTCCATTGAACTTGTTCTTCTTGCATCTCAAAGATTTTTTCATTCTGTAGCTTGATGCCATCAAGTAATTGGATGATTTCAGGTGGTACTTCTCTTTGCATTACTTTTCATTTTGATTTTAAGATTATCAAATCTTCTTTTCAACTCTATTTATCCAAAAGTTCAACAAAATGAAAGTTATTTTTCTCTCACAGAATCTGAATTTTTAACATGTTTGTCTCACAACCTGCACGGTCAACTTGCATTGGAATTGATTTAGGAACAACAAACTCATGTATGTGTGTTTTTGATAAAACAACACCTCGAATTCTGGAGAATGCTGAAGGAAAACGAACAACACCGTCTTGTGTTTCTTTTACACCAACAGGAATATTAGTGGGAGAAGCAGCAAAACGAATGGAAGCACTACATCCAACAACCACTGTTAGTGGAGTTAAGAGAATGATAGGGTGTCAATACAAAAATGTTGAGCAACAAAGAAAACCTTACAAAATTGTTGAAGGAAGAAATGGAGAAGGATGGATTTATATCAACGGCAAGACATATTCTCCATCGGAAATATCATCATTTATTCTTAAGAAATTAAAAAAAGATGCAGAAGCTAAACTAGGGAAAAGGGTAGATGAAGCAGTTATCACATGTCCAGCATATTTCAATGATGCACAACGACAAGCTACTAAAGATGCAGGAACACTTGCAGGATTAAAAGTTAAACGAATTATTAATGAACCAACAGCAGCAGCATTAGCATATGGAATAGACACAAGAAAAGAAAATGAAGGAAAGAATATTGCAGTTTATGATCTTGGAGGAGGGACATTTGATATTTCTATTCTTAATATTAATAAGGGGATTTTCCAAGTTAAAGCAACGAATGGAGATACAATGCTTGGAGGAGAAGATTTTGACAAAGCTATTTGTCAATATATTGAGAAAGAATTTGAACGAAAATATAAACGAAATCTTCAAAGAAATAAGAAAGGAATTAGTAGAATTAAAGAAGCAGCAGAGAAAGTAAAATGTGAATTATCATCAAGTGAAGAAAGTGTAATTTCATTACCATATCTTGATGGACAAGATTCACTTGAAATTACAATCAGTAGAAGAAAAATTGAACAATTATGTAAGGGAATTTGTAAAAGAACAGAATATCCTTGTCTTCAATGTATGAAAGATGCAAAATTAAGAAAAAAAGACATTAGTGATGTTGTACTTGTTGGAGGAATGACAAGAATGCCTTTAATTCAAAACACTGTTCAAGAAATCTTTGGAAAAAAACCAAGTAAAAATGTCAATCCAGATGAAGCTGTTGCTATTGGAGCAGCAATTCAAGCAAGTATTATTGAAGGGAAGAAAAAGGATATTATTCTTGTTGATGTTACACCACTAACATTAGGAATTGAAACATATGGAGGTGTGATGACACCATTAATCAATAGAAATACAACAATCCCTACATCAGTTTCAAAGGAATTTACCACATCAATGGATAATCAACAAGAAGTAGATATTAAAGTGTTTCAAGGAGAACGTAGAGTTACAAGAAAGAATAAAAAGTTAGGAGAATTTAAATTGGTTGGAATTCCACCAGCAAAGAAAGGAGTAGCAAAAATTGAAGTTACATTTGACATTGATGTCAATGGAATAGTAAAAGTCTCTGCACTTGACAAAGGAACAGGAAAGAAAACAGGGATTCAAGTCAAAAGTAATGGTGGATTGAATGAAGAAGAAATCAATCGACTAGTTAAGGAAGGAGAAGAACATGCTGCAGAAGACAAGAGAAAAGAGCAATTACTTCTTCACAGACAACGATTAAAAGAAATGATAGAGAGTGCAGAAGACATTCAAAAAGAGTTAATAAAGAAAAAGATTGAAACACGTGAATTAGAAAGAGTTATTAATCAATCCAAAAAGGTTATTACATCAGAAGATGAAAATGAAATTAAAAGATTAATTAACCAATTAGGAGAAGAAACATCAAATTCTTCTGCTAAATTATATAATTAATTAACTTCTATCTTTTTATTATGATTTGTTTTAATTTTCAGTATTATTTATCTTTATTTTCATCTCATTCATCAAATATCAGTTATATTTGTTATTATTGTTCAAGTTTTTAGTTATACACTACTTACTTTTTACATGAAATACATGGATTGTTGATGTATTTTTTTAAATAACATCTTTCATATTTATTCTATTCTTTGGTTTTAATTCATTTTCTCTTCTTTCATCTAATTCAATTCATGCGTTTTGCTTATTTCATTGTTGATATATACACAGCTATTTAATCTTTTGTTATTGACTTATGCTTGTTCTGTTGTGTTGTTCTCTATAACTATTTGTTCATATGTTAGAGTTGTTATCTCTTTTTGTTTTTACATGAGTTTTATAGTTTATATTCTTTTAGAATGAATATTCAATGGTGTTGAGTTTATTTCTGTTTATTCATTATCAATTCATATTACTAATTATCGTAAATGAATAAACAACACAATGATTAGTTGATTGTTTCTATACTTTATTTCATATTCTATTTTCACTTATTATTCATAGCATCAATATTTATTATGAAAATAAGCATTAGGGATAACGAAAAAAAAAGAAGAGAAAGAAAGACATAAAAGAATAAAAAGAAAGTAAGATGAAGAAGGAATAAAAATAAAGTCGAAGAAAAAAAGAAGATAAAGAGTAATAAAATAGAATAGATAATAAAAGAAGAAATGAAAAATGAAATAAATGGTGTATTTTATTGTAAAAATTAGAAATATGAAATAAAAGTGTCTAATATAATGGTGTAAAATAATTGGTATTGTTTTATTGTTGAAAATAATTTATTATTTTTATGTTTATTATTTATATGTATAACTTCATCATGAAGTTTATTATATAATCAATCAGATGTGTTATGTTATTATTATAACATATAATAAGTGATAAAATATAAATGAAAATGATATGAATATATGATATTAAATATAGAAAAACAAAAGAATAATAAGAATAAATGATAAATAAATATAGAAATGATAATCAATGATATAATAATAAAATCAAAATATAAAATATAAAATATAAAAATAATATAAATCAAAAGAGAATAAATATAAAATGAAAATAGATATAAATGATAATAATATAAAAATGATAAGGATGAATAAACAAATAAACAAATACATCTAAATAGAAAAGAATAACAATAAGAAAATCTAAATAATATAAACATCAAAATCATAAAATAAGAATAATATAATAATATAGAGATAATAAGAAGATGATATACATATTATAAACAGAGAAATAAATATAAAAATAATAAAAATTAGTTAATTAAGTATTAATAGAATTTTCATCTATTCTTCCTAGCTCAGGGGAGACTAATCCCATCCCTGAGCTTATTAAAAAAGAGTAACCTCTTTGTTTAACCTATCATTTAGGTTTGTCTTGCAAAATGACGAAACCACTTATTTGCTTTATTTTTCCTATTAAGGGTT